ACTAAACTAGGTACAACTATCTGCCGATTTTTACATGACTTCTCTCCATTTTTAGTTTACTTTCCTGTTTCTCTATATGCCTTGTGATGTTTCATCATATCGCTGGAAGAACAAAACGGTCCATACAATGCATGGTTCTAATGACATCTATCCATGGGACGGTTTTGTATCTTATAAATAGAGTAGTGACTTCTCAACTTCTTTAAAAAATCTAGCAGTTCTGAAAATCTTGATAGCAACTCAGGTTCAACACTTAGTGGTTATTATTTTTTTAAACAGGTCATGGTCACGATCTTGCTTTGTTAATGTGTGATTGCGATTTCGTTAAATAAAACTGGATATATACTCAAGTTCTGAAGCCAAATTATTTACTCTATCTATTGACTGCAGTTTGTTCTTGTTTGCCTATGTGTGCAGGAGATGTGGGCTTTGCAGAGAGCTTGCAAGGTAATGTCAAAAGAAAATGACAAGCTTGAGGTAACATCAATGGTAATATTTTTTAGGTTCTTTAGTTTGTATAAGTTATCCACATGCAAGATGCTAAACGGTATAATTGTTGTGGCTATTATTATTTTTTCCTACTCATCTGTCATTAGCTGATGGGTAGGAATGCTGGATAGATGACGGACTACATTAAATGTAGCTTTCTCATGTTTATGTAAGGAAAATAATCTTAAGTAAAGATTTGGATCTAAGTTCTGTGCAAAACTACTCTTACATCATATTATCCTTTTGCTTAATACTGGCCATCCTTTTGCAAAACTACTGAATATGAAAGGGCCAGCATTTTCAAAAAATATATTGTCCTTTTGCTTAATCTGGATCGATGCTGATTTACATCATATTTTGGGTGGCAGTCCTCTCTGGGTCCTTTTTAGGCTTTGTATGTCGCAGGCGGTGGGCGCGGTCAAATATATTAGTATTAGCTTGTATTCTTCTCGCTCCTTATCTCTTGTCTGATGAAATATCATCCTTTCTTTCCTTGCAGGTTGTTATTATTTTAAATTTGCAGCAACCTAGATAACATTGTAGAAAAAAGTAGGAGATAAAGAATTTCTTGCCTTTAGTTAGCAGCAATCGACAGTCAGTGGCTCATCTATATAATTGCGAAAAGCTGAGCTTATCACTGTTACCTGTCCGGCAACAACTATAGAGATTGATTCATAATTTGGTATATAAAATTAATTATTATAGGTTTTGCTCATCTCGATACAGAACAATTGAAAAAGAATATAGGAATTGAGGCAGAAATGGTTGATCTAGAATAAAATGAAGACATCGTGCTTGCAAGGATGTGATGGCGATTGTTGAGAATACCTACCAATTTAATAAGTTAACATATTATCTATCATGCACAGCTATTAACTTTTCCGAGGACGGAATTCTTGGTGGACATTTTGAAGAGCCATGCAAATGAATGTGGAGACAATATTCCTGGAGAACTCCAAGACCTACTTAAGGTCTTCAGCAGATTGTAAATTAGACGATTGAGGTGAGACATAACCTATTATGCCTGTTATGTATAAGTGTTTTCCGGATTATATACATTGTCATATATAATTGCGTGAAACTTGTTTCCCTCAAACAAAAAAATTGTGTGAAACTTGAACTATGAAAAATATCGTCGTCGTTTTTGTGCATTTTTGAAATAAAGCCGTGGTGTTAGGACAGATTATATATTAGGATTAGGAGGAGGTAGAAATAGAATGGACTTTTTCTTCCAATAAAAATAGAAAATTAAAGAAAAAGATCAACACAAGCCCATCTGCTTACGCAGGCAAGCCCAGCTGGCTCGGCCCACATCTCCAACCATCCTCCGCCCACCTTTCCAAAACCCTAGCCCATCCGACGGCGACGAGGCTCCCATCGCGCGAATATAAGCGCACCTCCCACCCAAACCCTGGGCTTCTCCGCGCACTCCATCTCCCTCCCCGCCGCCGCCACCGCCGCACGCAGCCGCATCCGCCATGGGTGAGCTCCTCCTCCTCCGTCCCGCAAATGTTCTCTGGTCTCTCCGTGCCGGCGAGCCTTTGTGCGTCGTCTCTCTCTCTGACGGCCTGTTCGTTGCGCAGGGGCGTACAAGTACGTGTCGGAGCTATGGAGGAGGAAGCAGTCGGACGTGATGCGCTTCGTGCAGCGCGTGCGCTGCTGGGAGTACAGGCAGCAGCCGGCCATCGTCCGCCTTACCAGGCCCACACGCCCTGACAAGGCCCGCCGCCTCGGCTACAAGGCCAAGCAGGTAGAGCTCCCCGCCTGGCGCTCTGTTCTGTTGCCTGCCGTGAGATAGTGATTATAGATATAGGTTGGTTGAGGGCTTGCTGCCATTTAGGATTCGATCTGCGCAGTCATATCGCCGTTTGCTGGTTTGTGGTTATGAGATTTCACGGCTTTGGGTGGACCATTTCTACTGTAGTTTCAGGCGATAGATTGTTGTCAGTTTTCTGTGTGCAAAATGTAGTACTGCTGTTCAGTATGTACAATAAAAACATGTGTTGGAGCCTTTGTTTGGGCATTATTACGATGTTTGGATATATAATGCCTGAATTTAGATTATGATAAGTTGTGCTAGCTACTAAATTGATAAGTGCAACCTGTTGATGTTGCAGTTTGTTGTGCGCCAAATATTGTAGCTACTTATTGAGTTGGAATAATCTGAACATAACTTGAAATTGAGTCTTTTTGTTTGCTGCCTATGATGGTGCATTGCATTTGGACCATAAAATTAATAGAGTTTTATGTGGGTTATTTCGCCAGGCTAGGCTAATACGATTTAAGCCATTTAATCACATTATGTTTGTGATTTGTTTGGCTGATTTTTATGTGGTGAGATAATGATAATGTAAGACCATTTATTTATATATTTATATTATGCTCGTGTCAGCTTGTGGCAATGAAAACTTGTTTGGTGAGTACAGTGATCCAACTTACTGTTGTTTCACTGCATGGTCTTGTTGCAGTTATGCAGCTGTCTGACATGTACGCCTTTTCTTGTTACGCAATAAATTTTTGGAGTAGGATTTCTGCGCATTAGACTCTTAGGATGCTATGTTAGGCTTGTTTACTTCATTTTATTAATGCAGTTTGAGTAGCTACTGTCATTTGCTTTTGTTTGATGTGTTGTGTTCATTCATCTTCAGGGTTATGTTGTCTACCGTGTCCGTGTGAGGCGTGGTGGCAGGAAGAGGCCTGTGCCTAAGGGTATTGTCTATGGCAAGCCCAAACACCAGGGTATCACCCAGCTCAAGTTCCAGAGGAACAAGAGGTCTGTAGCTGAGGAGAGAGCCGGACGCAAGCTTGGTGGGTTGAGGGTTCTTAACTCCTACTGGGTGAATGAGGTACGCTGGATTGTAACAAGAAAATTCGTCTACAGAGATACTAGCTTATGGGTTTGTGCTAATGGCTTGACATGTCCATCACTCCTAACACAGGATAGTACCTACAAGTACTTTGAGATCATCCTTGTGGATGTTGCCCACAAAGCCATCAAAACCGACCCAAGGATCAACTGGCTATGCAACCCCGTCCACAAGCACCGTGAGCTTCGTGGCCTCACCTCCGCAGGCAAGAAGTTCCGTGGCCTGCGCGGCAAGGGCCACACCCACCACAAGAACAGGCCCTCCAGGAGAGCCACCTGGAAGCGCAACCAGACCCTCTCCCTCCGCCGCTACCGCTGAGCTTGTTGGGTGCTTGGATACTGTCACTGTCAAACCTGTCCCAAGCGAAACAAAAACTTCGGCTTTGTTTGGTTGCATTTTCAAATTTTGCTACTTGTGTTGTCATGAACTATTTGCAATTCTGCTGTGTTAAGAGACAACGAATGGTTAGTGATCAAATGCTTTGTGCTGCTGTGGACTAAACGATGATCGGTTTGCCTGTGTAGTGGGTTGCGGACAGCCGTTTGTTCCGAGGTACTTTTGCATCCCGGGATGATGGTGCCTCTCGATTCTCCGTTACCGATTATTCATTTAGTTGTTCAAGGTGTGGTTGATATGTTTTATATGCGCTTGCATTGTTGGATAGCTGATTCGACAAAGTTGTGGTTTGTGAATCATACGATTTTAGGTCGTTGCATTCTGTTGCGAAGTCGTTGCATTCTGGATTTTGCTTAGCTACAATGGTAGGTACTGTAGGCTGTAGCCAATCCATTTTTAGCTATTGGATTTTGCTTAGCTGCAATGGTACAATAGGGATCCTCAAATCATGCGGAGGTTTGAATAACCATTACAATTTTGCGTCGAGAAGGGGATCACAATTAACTCAAATAATTAATGGCGTGTCGTTGATGGCGCCAAATTAGAGTTACTGTGTGAGCTATTGAGAGATGAGAGCCCAAATTCTTGTATTTTATTCTAGACGCCTTTCATATTTGATGATTCAAACTAGCAAAACTTTACATTTTGCCCTACGTATTGTATGCCCAAGAATGCTTGGTTGTTGCCATAAAAAAGAGAATAATTATTATCTTATTAAGCAAAGGAAAATTTAGCAGCGTTTTCATCATATTGAGCATCTCTAACAATCTTGTTTCAAATTCATTCTCTAAATCTTTATCTAGGAGACATTCTAATAAAAAGTAGCTCTCTATATCTCTTTATTACACTACAACAATTTCTCGTTGAAGAGGCGATTTATAGAGAGAAAAATTTTTTCACTAAAATCTCTACTACCACATTTGTATAATAACCTGTCACGATCCCACTTCAGCGAGATTGAGTCCAGGTCAAACAACTTAGGAAAATGGTCAAACTCTTATGCGGTTGTGCCCCACTGCGCAGCGACCAACTAAGCGCAGCCCCATCTGCCCCCGTGACATGTAGGTCCTACCGGTCAGCGAACCAGCCCTATCCCTAGTGTCCTCTCTCTAGAGCTAGCCGGTGGCGAAACTGCCAGGCGGCCGGGTTCTGCGGCGAGCACAGACAGAGGAAGAGCAGCGCTCTCGCCTCTCCACTCGTCAGCCATCACCATTCACCACCACCTTCTCCGGAGCTTTCTAGAAGGCCATGGCGGAAGCTTCCAGGACCTCGGAGGCCCGCCGGGACGCTGTGTTCGGGCGGTGGGTCGTCTTCTCGCCGGCGCGCTCGCGCCGCCCCACCGACCTCAAGTCCCACTCCCCCACCAACCCTAGCCCCGGCCCCAGCCCAGGGGCCGACTCGCCGGCGCCGCCCAAGCCGTCCTGCCCCTTCTGCGCCGGCCGCGAGTCCGAGTGCGCGCCCCAGATCTTCCGCGTGCCGCCCGACGGCACCCTGCCGTGGCGGATCCGCGTCATCCAGAACCTCTACCCCGCACTGCGCCGTGACGTGGAGCCGCCGCCCCCGCCGCCTGTGCTGCCGGAGGGGGAGGCTCCCCCGGACGAGCCCGGGGAGCGCGCCGTCCCCGGGTTCGGCTTCCACGACGTGGTCATCGAGACGCCACGCCACGACGTGCGCCTCTGGGATCTGGACGCCGAGGGCGTCCGCGACGTGCTGCTCGCCTACGCGGAGCGCGTGCGGCAGCTCGGGGAGCACCCCGCGGTGAAGTATGTTCAGGTAGAGCCGTAGAGAGGCTTTAACGCGTGTGCATCCCATTTCTTCTTAGTTTGCCTTTATCAGATGGCTGGGCCATTTCATTATTTGGATAATGGTGACAATTTGCAGCAAAATATTAGACGCTGAGAGTATTTCCAAACTGCAAAATTGGACGCTACAAATTGATGCATCCTAAAGCACTTGGAACTTGTTACTTAAGAGTTAACAATTGCTAAACGCCGGATATAGTTTCTATAGGGCCAGGACAATTTCTTAGCTGGAGATATTGCGTCATCTTTCTAGTTTTCACATGTGTCGATGGTTCAGTGTATCTTCTAATTTGGATATTGATGTGTTTCTTTATGTTGGTACGGAGATTGACATTTTGGGTAGATTAATGTAAAAATTCCAGTATCATGATATACATTGCCTGTAAACGAGATTATAAGTTCAGATTCATGTGCCTTTATAGTGTACGGATAATGTTTCCGTGGCAAAGTTCGCAAACTTGTTGGGTATGTTATAAGATATGCTTGTTCTGGAGGTTACGTTGCACAGCAGTTAAGGTCGCTGTAGGCTTTACAAGATTCCAATTCCTGGGCACTTGCTGTTACACCTATGTTTATGTCAACCGCTTTTGATGGCAGGATAGATATGGACAATAACATATTCACCTTTTAGTTTAGAATGGAATTTGTGATTTTGTCTATTCTGTCGAGGTTTGTGAATGGTTCGTTTACATAAGCTTGGATATGGTGATTCTTGATTGGCAAATCATTCCAGACTTAAAGTGCTTTATTGTTCACTTGCGAAACATGCTGTTTCTGTTGTTAGTGCCTTTGTCATTTACTGCATTGCTTATACTTGAGCCTTTTTCATGCACTGTCCATGTGGCGTATTTGTCATCTATACATCCATGTAGGAATCTAGCTGACGTTGGGATATTGTGTTATGGGTTAGTAAATAGAAAGTGCCAGTGTCTCATTTGTTAGGATCTGCGGTGTAAGCTCAGTAGTTTGTTATGAACCCATTTGTCCTGGGTTTGATACTTTCCTACCGGGTCTATCTTCCCAAATAAAAACCATTGCCTCTCACTGTGAAGCCACAAGGGGAATGCAGTGTGCCAATTTTAAATGCAGGCTCATCTTAATATTGGACTTTTGCCAACCATAGAAACTAACTAGTCTCTAAGGAAAATGAATCAACACGTTCCTCCTTATATTTCATTTCTAGTGTTTATGATGCTTTCCATGTTATTTGTTAGCCAATAGCCATGCTTGTTATTATGGTATGTGCAGATAGGCAGTCTATTTTGTGTAGACATGTAGTTTGGCAGAGTTCTCATGCTTACCACAAGGACATAGGTGGTATGTTTGAGCAAGTGCCATTGTTACTGTGCTAATGGATGGTAATTTACAAAATATTACACTTACACTTGTAACACTCCTTTAGTTGGCTCATACAAACTAATTGGTGATTTTCCTTGAAACTAAATTGATTGAACGAAGATATAAGTGAGACGTGGTCAATGAAAGCTTTTAATGGGCAATAATATCATCGCTTTCCAAGTCCCAGTCTTTGTTCCACAAACCCATCTTACTACTTGTTTTGTTGGATCTATTTTTGTCCCATCGATAGTTTCCATCTAGCAGTAGCCTATATTCATTCCTGAATCTTGTTATTGACTTCAAATTGCCTATTTTAATTTACCTTCTATAGTACCTTTGTTGATTTCCTTATGTCTGAAAAAGTTCCTTTGTCTTAATATGCTTAGGTGTTTAAGAACCATGGGGCATCTGCTGGAGCTTCAATGGCACATTCACACAGCCAAATGTTGGGAACTCCCTTTGTCCCTCCCTCTGTTACAACTCGGCTTAACTGCATGAAGGAGATTTTTGACAGATCAGGGAACTGCAGCCTTTGTGAGATTAGGTCCAAAGATATCCTGATCAGTGAAACACCTAATTTTTCTGCCATTGTTCCTTTTGCAGCATCATATCCATTTGAGATATGGATTATTCCTCGACAACATATTTCCTATTTTCATGAAATCGATCAAGATAAGGTACGGAGTGTTTTGAAATCCGCTACATGTTTCATCTTTTACAGACCGACCTGTGTATACAAATATTACTATATATTTTGAAGTTCAAACTTCCCTATTTGCTCTTGCTGTACCTTTTTGGAGTTCCTGTTAAGTTATGGATAAACTTCTGTGCCAATAGTTTAATGCATCTGCTATAGTTATTGGTTTAGTTCGCATGCCTAAATACTAGCTGTATAGTATTTACGTCATTCCCTCATGGGCTATGCAAAATAGTTCCTTCTACTTGAAATTTGTAATTTCCTTATTTGGCTCTACACACGTTCCGTACTGAACCAGATACGCATTACAATTTTCTGATGCACTTAATAATCTTCTTCAATCTTCACTTATTCCAAGCACCGCATTGCATTTCTACTGGATGAAAATGAGGGATTAGTAGGTTCACTTGATCACTTCCCCAATTTGTGTCATGTGGAACACTATGGGCCAGATCTGCGTTACTAATGCTGTCAATAAGTTTGCCCATTTCATGTCATAGTCATGAGCTACTCTGTAGATAAATAAATTCCAGGCATGTTGATACTAGTGGATTCTGCTTGTCAGCACCACCTTTTTTGGGGCACTAAGTTATTGAAATGCTGTCTGCAGGCACTGGATCTTGGGTCTCTGTTAAAGACTATGCTGCAAAAGTTGTCTAAGCAGCTCAATGACCCGCCATTCAATTTTATGATCCACAGCGCACCATTTGGGCTTTCATCATCCTGCCTGCCTTATACACACTGGTTCCTCCAGATTGTGCCCCAGTTAAGTGTAATAGGCGGATTTGAGCTTGGAAGTGGGTGCTACATCAATCCAGTTTTCCCTGAAGATGCTGCAAAGATTCTTAGGGAACTTGACTGCTCAGTCTAGTGGTGGTCGACGTCTAACCGTTTACTAGATAGGAACGAGGGATGTGTTCCTCTACACTTTTCTCAGAAGCAAAAATACCATGCTAATAATACAAGCAGATAGTTAACTTGATATGTAACATCAGGCCCTGCTTTGGCGAGGGAGATCTGCTGGGGTATCTTTCTCGCCCTTATTCAAACAGTTCTGCATGCCAAGTTGCCAAGTTGGGCATCTTTCTTGGCTCTGAGATTGATGTTGCCTGTTTGTACAGACTACAGAGTGGTTAAAAGCAGAGTTTTCTTTTGAAGACTAATAAATTGTTTGATATCTTTTTATCTGATGTCTTGGTTTATCATATGGTCTAAATGTTTTCTGGTTGTTAACATAAAGTTTAGCTCCCTGATGGTTTACGTGCATAGATATTAGTATTTCCAGCTGTCAGCTAACTGTAGCTCCCTGATGTAATGTCGTTGGAAGATTGCATGGAATTACATGCAGTACATAGATACATGCTAATTGAAGCATAAAATACAAAGTTTCAGATTTTGGAAGTCTGTTGTCTGTAGCCGCCAGACCTTGTGTAAATTGGTGAACCAAGAGGAATTGCGAATTGATGTGTTTTTTTTCCTGACACATTAAACTGTCTGAACCTGAAGAACCAAAGTTCTCAATAGTTGTCTCGTGAGTTTGTCCGCTAACATATTCACCTTTTGCTTGATTCTTAGCATATTTGGCATGGCTTACAAGCACAACTGCATATTTCCTTTACATAATGTACTCATATTTCCTATACAAATTGGATATATATACTCATATACATAATGTATCTGCACCAAATGGCAAATGGTTAAGTACGAGGGCAAGGAGGCATCTCTCGAAGATAGTCAGCCTCACCAAGAATAGCTAAGGTACAGGTGTGAACTGCAAACTATTGACAGAGCGGGGAGCTGAACTGTATGAGCATGAGCTTATAAGCCTTAGTAGGCTTCTGCAGTATGCAAATCTGCAAGATCAGAGATGAGAGGCATTGCCTGCTTCTGCTGCTGCTACCAGCCTACCACCACCATGCTTCAATTGCTCAATTCTTGATTAATCCGAACAAGGATTTGATGGCATTGATGGCGTTCTCGTTGATGAACGACTCGTCGTAGTTCTTCAGCAAGGGCTCGAATTCCTCTGACTTCCTCAGGTTCGTGAGGTCCGGGTCGGTGCGGACTCTCTGCAGGAATTGACCATCAGTAACAATCCATCATGTGTTTCATGCTGCAAAACAGTTGGTTACCTTGAAGTCTTCATACCCTGCCTTCAGGGCTTCCTCCAGTGCAGAAAGCCCAGCTTCTATCTGCACAACAAAGGAACATAAACATGAGCCTTCATCAGTAGCAGACCTGAATAGCATCCATCATATATTCCGACAGTGAGAGTTACTGAACCCGGCCGAGCTTCGAGTAGCTGCAGGCAATATTGTAGCTGGCAATGGAAGCCTCACTGGGCTCCGGTTTCGATCCCAGAACTGACTCGAACTTCTCCAATGCCTCCTCATATTTCCCATCCCTGCATTTTTTTTGTTCCAAAAGTTGAAAGAGATTTCAAAACTGAAGCAAGCAATCATATTCACATAGTGCTGTCAGGTGTTGAGGAATCATTTCAGTTCACTGACTTGTACAGCCTGAGCCCCATGCGGAGATCCTCTTCCCTCTGCATCTTCTGCTCCATCTTCCTCGTGTAATTTTGCAACTGCGTGGAGTTTTTCAGACATTGCCGTGAGCAAAATCAACCATTCTGTGCATTTCTATGGAGACACAGAGACCTGAAGATACAGAGTTGATGCTTCTACTCTACTCACCTGGATCTCCCTCACCCTGCCGCTGACCACTCCAGAGTTCCTCTCAAATCTGATGATCTCCTTCTCGGTGAGGTCACCGTCACCGTCCACCTTACCTGGACTCAACTCAATCAGCAGCATCCAGCAAGAATTAATCACACCCCTTGAATTCTCATCCCATTTCTTTCTTTCAGAAAACTAATAAGACGAATGCATGATTCAAGGGCATGAAATTAACAGCGGGCTGTTGTTATCTTACCAAACCTCCTCTCCATCTTCAGGTACAGAGGGCCGACCCTCTGACGGATGCTGTACATGGTCTGGCCGTACCCTTTCGCCGGCCAGATCTCCTCTCCGAAGACAGCGCTGGTGGCGAGCACCTTGTCGCCGACCTCGAACTGGCCGGTCACGTCGGCCGCGCCGCCGGGTTGGATGGCCTCGATGTAGGTGCCGCCGTCGCGGCCCTTGGTGAACTTGAGCCCGTACGGCTTCTGGATCGTCACCTCGTACTCCTCGTACGGCCGCTCCTCCTCCTCCGCTCCCTCGCCTCCGCTTCCCCCCGACTTGGTCTCCGCCGCCGCCTTCGCCTCGGACGACGCCCGCACGACGACGGCGTCCAGCTGGGCCCTCCGCGCGCCACCGGCAGGCGCCAGCCTCAGGTTCCGGCCGCCGAGGACCGCGGCCGCCGGCTGGAGCAGCAGCAACGCATTGCTGCTGCTGGCTCTTGGGAGGCGGCGGGCGGGCGGAGAGGACAGCAGCGGCGGCTGGTTAGCGGCGACCTGGCTAGCCAGCGCCATGGCTATTGGCTAAGCTAGGAGAAGCTTAATTGCGTGAGCTAGCTGCCGCGCGCTGCTTGCTCGAATGGTCCGCTCGCTCGAATGTCTCAGCCCAGCACCGGCAGCTGCTGAGCTCCTCTTCTCTTCTCCTCTTCGCGCGCCTCGCGAAGAATCTGTGGTGTGGTGGTGCAGATGAGGAGGAGGAGGAGACGCTTCTGTGGCTCATCTTGGGCTGTGTGGCGCCAGGAAGGCTTGGAGCTCAGGCGTGAGACGGAGGCCACACACCAGCACGGACAGACGGGGAAGAACAAAATAGAGGCTGAGGACTGGAGTGAGAAGGCGTATGCATGCTGTTCTTTCTCCGGCCAGGTGTCCGGCGTAGGTACGTTACTACGTACGTGTCACCTTCCATGTCAGTAGAAAGTTAATCTTTTTCTTTTGAAAAAAGAAAGATGAAATAGCTCTTTCCGACCCGTTATAAGACCCAAATTCACAAATACTTTTTTTTAAATAACGAAAAATATCATCTGGCTTCATCCTCCCAAAAAGAAAACAGACCTTACCTATCACTGAGTACACTCAAAACGATCTCACTCTCACACAATTCAAAAGGCAAAAAACGATTAAAACTCAAGTCTAAAAAGTAAAGCTTCATCCATGAAAAACAAAGGAAAAAAGGCCATCATAGCAGATGAGGAGGAGACGCTTCTCATCTTGGGCTGTGCGGCGCCAAGAGGGCTTGGGGGAGTTCAAGCGTGAGATGGAGGCCACACACCAACACGGACAGACAGGGAAGATCAAAATAGAGGATGCCAGCACACTTGCAGAGGGCTTGGGGGAGTTCACGCATACGCTGGTGTTTCTCCGGCCGGGGCCCATCGTAGCTACGTATCACCTTCCGTATCAGCATGCTGGGCCCATCTTGCAGTATTGTGTGGTCCAAGTAGAAAGTTGATCCTTTTCTTTTGAAAAAAGAAAGATGAAATAGCTCTTTCCGACCTATTAAAAGACCTTTTACAAAATTTTTTTTTAGATAACGGAAAATATCATCTGACTTCATCCTCTTACAAGAATCAGATCTCCACCTATCAAAAAGTCCACTCAAAACGGTCTCACACAACTCAAAAGATAAAAAAACGATTGAAACTCAAGTCTAATAGTAAAAGATCATCCATGATGAGAAGAAAAAAAACCCATCATGCAAATTTTTTCTCATCCTGGCCATTTGACCAATATATGGCAAGGTCAACGAAACAACAAACATATCGTAGCTAATAAGGCATGGTATCATTAGTTGCTAGTTTGGTTTGACCATTTAATGCTTCAAGGCTTGAAGAGTATACATTCTCCAATATTGATATTTCTTTTTTCTTCTCAGAATACACAGAGAAGATATGCGTATATCATTGTATTAATAAGAAGAAGAATACATGACACATTACACAGATAGATTATTACTTATGGTGGACAACTTAGAGAGAGAAGCAGGCAAAATTATTATAACAATTTCACAACCTAAATTTTGTAATTAATCTTTTATATAATAAATTTATGAATAGTGTAACCTATGCACAAAACTGGCTAGATCGCTATGAAAATACTCTTGTCATATACCGATCTTAACACTGGTCAGTACCAGCCAATTCCGTCAATACTGGTCATACCAAAATCGGCTAAACTCAAATAACATTTTATTTAAGGTGCAATTTTATGAACCTTGTTAAACTATATTTTTTTTCAAGAAACTTGTTAAACTCTATGCTATCTTAAATGTAACTCTACGTATTTGTAAAATGATTGTGACTAGATTTATATGTAAATATACCATATATATAATTATTGTGGCATAACCGCATGGAATAACACATTTTGGAGGTGATCGTCTTTCACTAGACACTAAGCACCCCAAAAGTGGCTAAAAGCATTCAAAAAGCGAGCACACCAAGAGAGAACCGAAACAATCCACGTTTTAGGGAGAAATCCAATAACAATCCACAATACTTAGTCCATTTTACACATAGGTCTCCAGAATAGAATCCAATAATAAGTAAACTGAGCTCACACTGATTTGTTACTGAAAAAATACTATTAGGTTGAAAATACAAGTTTGAAATAGACGGATTGGGAATTATTAATTACAATAGTCTTGGAAATTATTTATTACAATACAGAGTCCAGAGTGCGATAGTTAAACAGCAGAAAATGTAATAATCATTTAGAGAAAACGATACACGGATCCATCTATGCCCACCAGAAGAATCCTCCACACAAGAGCTAACTCCTCATGTTGCACCTGCAATAGGGTAAAATAAACCCTGTGTACATAATGAACTCGCAAGATTTACCCGACTAGTGGGATTAACCTCTTGATTCTGGAGGATATGACAGGCGATATGGTGTGCTGGGTTCTTTTGTTTGCGGAACACATTACTAGTAGTTCGGCTTTAAGATCAAGCTTTATTAGCAGTCATGATTGTTTCATTAGCTACCCATTCTAGGTAAGCACCTGTTCCACATTCCAGCAAGGGTTGAGCAATCAGAACCATTTTATCATCTTTCATATTTCAGTTCTTACTACGGTGCTAGACCATAGTCAAGTCGTACCGTCTCACGGAAACCACGATTCGCGAACCAATGTATCCCAGCTGGGTACCCCGAAACACATGTCTCGCTTGTAACCCAGGAACAAACGAGACCAACCCATTTCACTCCTGTCGAGGGGTCCAGGCCCCCGTCCAAACTTGGACTCCAAGCCTCCATACTTGAGACCCGGTCTCAGTGTGGTGCTTAGACCTCCACCTTTCCCCGTCTCTAATCAGTCGGTACGAAAAGAGCCGGAACCCATGACAAGAGCGCAATGAGCCTTCCCACTCCCATAAGCAAGTATGTGCTCAGAATAATAAGTCTATGACCTGACTACCATCCACAGCAACGGACGATCATCAATTGACACGCATAGAGAAAACAGTGTAACTAAGCTAATCCCCGTGGCCGTATCCCTGCCCGGTCTCATTTTTTTCATTATTTTATTATGAGAGTAATAATAATCACCTATTGTGAGTAACGACAGGTTACTTACGCTACCGACAACCTAACTATAGCAGCTACTCTGCACTAGTAGGACTCATAGGGTAGATATATATATGCATGTGGTTTCTATAAAATTCCTGCAACGTAAATGCACAACTCATATATATATACGGTGGATATGAAAAATAGAGGTTATGCACCGGAGCTTGCCTTGGGCAGACGTGGTGTTAACTGAGTCAGTCAGTGGTGGCTCTGGGACCTTCTCCTGCACGAGAATCTCCTCCTCGTACTCTTCAACGATCTCCTCAAACTCATGCTCGTCGGTGGTCACAATCTCCACCAACTCGTTCTCTATATGCATGCGATGATAATGATGCAGCAACTTAGTATTTATGCAACAACAACTCTTAAAATAAGAATACACATGTTAAGCTACTAAGCTAGCTCTAATGACTAAGATACTAAGCTAACTATCGTCTTCGTCAAGCAAAGTGTTGCGTTCAACTAACAAGCACCTAGTTTTGCAAATCAATGGTATGCCTTTATTTCTATTAAAGATTTAATGTCTATTTAAACAAAGAACATTTAACTACCCTGATGTTTAGTCTAGTCTAAGGCCACAAAATTAAAGTGAGCACATAATAATACAACGAAGCTATTATAAAAATTTTAGGATCAAAGCTATCACCAATTTACCACGAAATTTTCCACAATAATTATCATAATAATATTAAGCACTTTAAAATAATTTAATAGTCCTTAGTACCAATACAGATATGTATGAACTAACTTTACTAACAGGTAGACAATAATCTTAGGAACCTATCAAAATTAGATTCATAATTTTTGGACACATATACGAATTTATATTAATTATACAAATCTAGCTCTGAAATTAAAATAGAAAGCTATTACATATTTCTAAGAAAAAGAAAAACAAAATTGACCTTGTGGCCCACAAACACGCGGACACGGCCCATGCGATATGGCCCACGACTGGGAGCCCGCGCGCGCTGGCGCTTTTACAAAAACACCCCCGCGCTATTCGATATTAATGCGACCACTTTGCGCACTATTCTTACTGATAGCACTTTTGCAAGGAAGCCCTCGCATTAACCCGTCTTCGTATCGGGGAGGTACCTAGGACTCCCACGCTCGGCGGCGCGGCATTGGCCAGCATTGGACAGTTACGCCGGCCAACTGTGGACCCCTATGGCATGTCTACAGGGCCGATGCTCACCTGCGGGCCCACGCGCAACGATGGGCAGCAATTAGGAGACTAGAGATGAACTAGAGCGGCTCCTCCACGTTGGCGGGCAACCTACGACGACGACGGCGGTGTTCCGGTGAGCTATGGCGCTAACTGAGCAGTAGAGATAACGAGGAAGCATCAAGGACTCACCACGGACCTAGCCAAGGTGATGGTTCGGCCGGGGACTACCTTAGCAGGGCTGGCCATGTGTGACCGAGCGGTGCGGCGGCGCACCACGGCGGACATGACCGCGTTGGCAGTGCTGGGGTAGCGGCAGAGGTACGGCTAAGGAGCGCAGGGTGAAGAGGGGGTTGAGGCGAAGCTAATGGTGCATCTGGATTAGCTCGGGGTGGTTAGATGGAGGGCTGCCCTCGGCAATGGCCGGACTCGGCCTTATCAACACGGCGGCGGGGGAAAACTCCAAATTGGAGCTTGGCCAGACTCGATTCAAGGCGGGGTGGGGTCGGGGGTCCGGTGGCTTAATGAAGAAGCCCAAGACACGACGAATCGAGCCGAGGTGACCTATCTATGATGAATTGAGGTGAGCGGGGTCAGCCGGTGGCCGAGGTAATGAGAGAGAGGGGGGTAAGTCAGAGCTCGGCTCGTCCTCGCCTTGGCGGGACGCGAGCGAAGCGATCAGGACGGCATACGCGCAGGCGCTACGGACAAAACGCGCGTGTGTCCACGACCGAGCACGGCATGAGCGGCTGCAGCGCCTTTAATGGCGAGATGACGACGA